ATCTCTAGATTAGACTACTGTAACGTGCTCTACGTGGGGCTCCCTTTGAAGCTGATGCGGAAACTTCAGGTGGTGCAGAATGCGGCGGCCAGACGCCTTACTGACGTGAGAAAATACCAACATATCTCCTACTCTGGCCATGCTGCACTGGCTGCCCATCTGTTTCCGCATTGACTTCAAAGTGTTAATGCTTACATATAAGGCCCTAAACGGTTTAGGACCCCGATACTTGGCAGAACGCCTGCTCCCACCTAGATCTACTCGGATCACCCGCATGAGCCAGGAGGTGAGCCTGAGGAGCCTAATGCCGAGGGAGGCCCGGAAGGAAAGGACACGAAACCGGGCCTTCTCGGCGGTGGCTCCTCACCTCTGGAATAACCTTCCTCCGGTGATTCGTGCGGCCCCTACGCTGGGCACTTTTAAGAGTCAACTAAAAACATGGTTGTATGTTCAGGCCTTCCCTCCTGTCAATATTTAATTCTTTTTTATTTTTTCTTTCATTTATTATTTGTTTTATTATTGTATGTGTTATGGACTGTTTGTAAAATCCTTATGTTTTATCGTATACACCTAATTGGAAGCTGCCCAGAGTGGTCGACCAGACCAGATGGGCAGGATATAAATCAAATAAATAAATAAATAAATTTGGTAATAACTGATAGGAAGATTGGACATGATTGTGCTTTGGCAGAAAATCAGTTCTGTCCTCTTTCCTGTAGTGCTAAAGCAGTGCTGCTGCATCTGTTGAAAAATCTCATCCTGAAAATGATATGCTTTTACACCTTTACCAGTACAGTTGTTTAACATTTAAGTGAATAAAAAACATCTTCTGATCGGTCCATGTGCTTTTTGTGTTTCTGTTTGCCATGGTTACGTCAGATGCTTTTCAGTCAGGAGGCCCATAAAACGGTTGTCAAGCAGGAGTCCCATGGAACTTCAGTGGCTTCCACAGACCTAGATATATTTGAGTCTGAGTTACAGGACATGCTGAACATAGTGGAGAAGCACATGGAATCAAAAGAAGATCACGAAAAGGTTTGTGAGCTTAATGCGAAACAGAGTTTTGCACTTGATCTCATTAATGAAAGCAGTTCCATTGATTTCCCAGCAATTATGTACTGATGCTTTCTTTATAAATATGTTTCTTCTCTTTAGCTGGAGGTCATGTTTTTGGATGTTTCTTGACAGCATAATAGTGTACCATACAAAGCTGTTGATACATGTAGTTATGCGTCTGTCCCAGTTGCACTGTCTGTTGCATCATTCGTCTTGATGTCTTTAGGTGCCAAGTTCCTCTTATAAAAGAATCCGTATTTATTTGAAACAGGAAAAAAAGTGTCCTGTGGTTCACAAAAGCTTATGCAGAATAAAAGCTTTCACTCTTAAAAGTGCCGTAAAACATGTTGTTGTTCTTGCTGCAACATAGTAAACATGGAGCCCCCCTGGAAACATTTGTGTGATGACAGTGAGGAAGACGGGTGGTAATGTGCTGAAACTGAGCTGCTGAATATCTGTCCCTTCTCAAATACTCATTCACTGTCCCTTTCAAAAACCTCCTTTCATGTTACCAGTTCGTATGCGGCATTCCCTACAGTGTGGTCTTTTTCCCCCCTGTGCCACAAAGATAATATTAGAAGCACTTGCCTGTGGTTCCTCCCCACACTTTGGTCTTACCCTAAAACTTCTCTTTATGTTGCTGATGGTGTGCTTTTCGTAATTTCAGTTGGATGAAAAGAGGGCCCAAATTGAGGAAATTCTGCGAAAAGGTGAACAGCTGTTACAGCAGCTTACAGAAGACAGCAGGCGAGAGAAAATTCGTTTGCAGCTTCTGCTTCTGCAGACCAGACAGAGCAGTGTCAAGGTCAGTTTAAAAGATGTTCACTTTAGCTGTGACTGTCTCGGGTGTTCTCTGCTTCTCTGGTAGGACACATGTCCCAGGCTACACTTTGGAGGTATATTGCCTGTGTGTAGCCCCTCTCCTGAACACATTTGTGGCCAACCTGAGATGTTTGGTGCCATTGCCAAAGTATCACATTCAGTTTCACTCCGCCGTGTTGCATCACTCTCTTCCACCATCCTGGATTCTCATTATGAATGCTTTCCTTTCTATGACATAACTGGCATTTTTCTTTCATTATCCTAAGGCTAGGATTATTACATAGTTAAATAAATATTAATAGACTGATCAATTAGTTAATCATTAAATATTTCAAACCTACATGTAATTCACTATCCTTTGCATGCAATTTTCATTTCATCATCTTGTTCTTTCGTGCTTGCAACTCAGAAGCAAATATGTCTTTACATGTTCATCCTCCACTACAGCCGGGTGAGGGATGGGAGACAACTGAAGTAGTAGTTTGCCTGAATGTGAAGAGAAACATTGTCTAGTTTTTCATTTCCAATTAAAAGGAAAATGGTGGTGGTTTCTCTTTTTTATTATTTACATTTCAGTATCAACATACAAAATCAAACAGTTTGATAATAGTGGCACAAACTTTCATATAGGTACAGCACATATCTTGAGTAAAGCTTCTTAGTTGTAGAATTTAGTGCACTTGTCAGATGATACTATCCTTCCAAAATTTCAAAAATGGCAGTTGTTTCTCAACATGGAGGAGTCAATTTTAGAAGCTGGCAGATGTTTAAAGCCCCAGCCATAATTCCATTTCTGACTCATGCTTTGAAGGCAAATGAAGGAAGAGTTTTAGAGAGGCACAGGTGGCTGACCTGATTTCCTCCCACCCCCAGACCCTGCCGGACTACTTACTGTGCTGTGCACGTGGCCAGGATCATCTCCTTTCCCCAGTCATGAGAGGAGCTTGACTGCTGCAGCCCCACCTACCTGCTTACCCAGCCACTCTGGGGCTGAGTAGGGAGACTTGTCCTCCCACCCCCTTACTGAACTGTCCCAATGGCGTCTAGGGGTGGGATATAATCAGGTTGGCCACCTGGGCTGGGGGGTGTTCATATTCGTATATGAATATAAAGCCCCCGTGTCTAAAGAGTATCCTTCAAAAAAGGAGCTGCTTTTACTGTGAGGAGTTGACCTGAAATGGTTATGCATTCCCACCCCCCCATTTCTTCTCTGTTATTTTCAACTGTGCTTGTGAGTCTGGGTGGCTGGGGAAAAGGGAGTTCTAATTTAAACCATGTGGACAGACCATTTTGGAGAAAGTGTGGGTCTTTTTCTCACATTCACCATACATGTGGCTAAGTATTTGGAATCCATCGCTGGGAGAATAGACAGTGCAAGTTTGGTGAATAGAAAATAATTCAGTGATATTTGAAACACCAGGCAGGTTACCATACAGGCAGACAATGTTCTGATCATCTCTTTTTGTCTTTCAACAAGTTTGGTCACATTTGAAATAACTTTGGCCTGAATTTCTTTTGTACATTGTGAATGCAGATGCAGAATTCCTACATAAATCCTTTACTTCCTTGCTTCAATCCACCTTTGCTTCGTTTGTTTGGTTGTAGGAGCTTCGATCATTACAAAAGAAACAGGTAATGGAACGCTCACCTCCATTGTCCCCATATACGACGGAACAAGATAGTCATTTGCATTGGCTCAGTGAAACAACCACAAGTGGTTCTGGACTACATGATGTGGGGGATGAGGGGAAACTACAGGTAAATCCTTTTTATTGTGAGGGAACCCTCCCCATTTATACCACAGTTTCAGTAATCACATTTTAAAGTTATGCTCACAGTTAGTCTTCTGTATTTATCAGTAGCAGGTATTGGATAGTAATTTTTATAATAATGTTTATTATTTCTGTGGTGGTTCAAATCAAATCTATTTGGTTGAAATCATCTTGCCTAATTTCTGTGGTGCAACATAAATTACATAACTTTTTGGTGTGAAGTACCCTAAGTTAAGGACATTATCAGTTGCAAATTGAGTTGTGTGATGCAATGTGCAACTGATAATGTCTGTTGTGATTTTTTTTAACATGGTGCAGTTTGCCTCCAAAGGTTAAACCATTGGCATAGCTACACAAGTGTACTTTAGCTTATGACATTCAAAAGCAAAAATGTTTAGTAAACGGCCACTTACAGAGGATGTGTATTTCCAATTGCAGATTTCTTATTTTTTTTGCCTTTTTGTGGAAGAAGAGTTTCCACAGCTTTCCTCAATCTGCTGCTCTCCAGATCTTTTGAGCCACAACATCCTCTACCAATGACCACAGGAGTGTTGTTTAAGGGTTTTGATGGGAGTCAGCAAAACATCTGGATCACTAGTCGATCTTAGCCAGGCACAACTATCCTAAATAATCATGGCAGAGATTCTGCTAAACACTGTGATGGGGCAGAGATTCTGCTAAACACTGGTGATGGATGCCAGACCAGATCAGGCATCAGAACAATCTCTATGCCAGGAGTGGTCTTGCTCATGCCAGACCAGACATTGGGTCAACCTCCATAACCTTCCCCACTCCCCTGGAAGTTTAGCCACTAGTGAATCAGTGGATAACCCCTGAAGGCCACTGTACCCATGGTGGCTGCATCTAGTGGCCGCTAATACAAAAGCCAGAACATCTCTTACTATGATGGAGGTTGAAAGCTTGGAAACCTTGGACAAAGAACAGAGGGCAGGGAGCAGAAGGCTGTTTCAGGAAGCAGGGAGATCTCAACAAAGGAGCAAGATGGGGTTTGTCATCTGGGGGGGGGGTTCCCTGGTCTGGCAGGGGAATCCTCAAAAGTTCTGATGGGTTGTAACCATGATTCGAATAATATGTTGGGATCTTTGGGTCTGTTTGCTGTGTCCCTCCCTATGGATAACTCAGGGGAGTGTACACTTATAAATTATTCCAAAAGAGCAAACATTTATTTTTTCAGTCTTTCTAGGATATTTGTCACTCCTTTTTAACAAAAATTAGTTACCGCACACAAGTTAACCCAGTGTGGTGTAGTGTGTAGAATTAAGGAATAGGACTTGGGAAACCTGGATTCAAATCCCTGTTTGGCCATGAAAACTCACTTGAGGAGAAGGATGTAACTGGAAAATCATATCATAAATTTCTCAGTTTCTTTGAAAGCCCTGTCAGGGTCATTGTAAGACGGTTCCAATTTGATGGTACACAACATACACAGCTCTAGTTAAGAAACATAGAATTTTGGAAGGTTTTTCATGTAGTTTTTTTGTGGAATGGGAATACAGTGGTGCCCCTCATGATGATGACCCCGCATGACGAGGAAATCGCTTGACGATGACTTTTTTGCGATCGCTATAGCGATCGCAAAATGATGGCTCCTATGGGTTTGTTTTTTTTTGCTTAACGATGATTAGGTCCCTGCTTCGGGAACCATTTTTTCACTGGACAATTTTCCCAGCTGATCATGGGCTCCACAGAATGGCTTCCGGCTGTTTTCCGACCCTTGTTTCGGAAGAAAGGCATTAAAAACAGCTGATTAGCGCTCATAAAATGGCCGCCCTATGGAGGATCTTCGCTGGATGAGCAGGTATTTTCCCCATTGGAATGCATTAACTGGTTTTCAATGCATTCCAATGGGTTTTTTTCGCATGACGACGATTTTGCTGTACAGCGATTTTGACAGAACGGATTATCGTTGTCATGCGGGGCACCACTGTATTGGATTTTGATATGTGTGACTTGGAGGGGAAGAACTGAGTGACTCCTACTCATTCAAGTTTTTGGTTAGCTGGCATATGCTATAGAGGCTTTCCTAGGTAAGAAACCTACAGAATTTTGGAAAGATATGTATAAGGGCTAGAAGGTTTTGATGAGTTTCTACAGTGAATTCTAGAATTTGCAGGCAGCAGAGTCAGCAGTTACGGTGCCTGAAGGATTAGGGATAAGGATAGCCTGAAAAGTTATTTTTCCAACTTCTCATTATTCGTGGTGTGAATAGCTCCTCTGCCTTCCTATGGATATGTCCTTCTGAGAACCAGATGCTCTTGATAAACAATGGTATGTGGTCACCTTCACACCCTGCTTGTGATCTTCAGAAGCATCTGGCTAACTGCCACTGAAGATGAAATACTGGAGGAGGCAGGCCTGTGTTTGATCCCCATAGACAACTCATTCAAAAGGGCATAACAATTAACAACTCTATTCATCAAAGTCGCATCCTGTCCTTACTCCGAGGAGTTTGAGCTTGCGTATGAATGGTTACTAGGCCAACCTTACAACAGATGCAGTGTACCAGATAATATCCCCAATTGGCATGTCTTTAAAACATGGTCAGTCAAAAATAGGCATGAAAAGGTGAGTTATTCATTTCCTAAATTACTCTGCAGAATCAGTAAGAGTCCAGTACAGAGTGAAGGTCATCATGTTCCTCAGAAGATAAATGTTAAGACAGTTACAGTGCTATGGATTTATTGTTAACTATTTACCATCTATAGTGTGCCAAATATTAAGGAGAAATTCAGACCCTAGATACCTTATGTCCAGGGTTCACAAGAAAAGGCAGAAATTATGATTTCCCAAGTCCCAGAAAAATAAAATACTTCTAAGATAATAAATAAATAAATAAATAAATAAATATTTTTTTTAAAAAAAATCAAATTGGGCTTTACTTAAACTTCCTACAAAAATGACTTGAAAATCAGAAAACCCTTCAAGCACTAAAATACCAATTAACACTTTGTCCATCTTCACACATGAAAGGTAGGTCATATTTTTATTCTCTCCACATTTTATTATTGTAGCACTATGTAAATGTTATCAAAACACAGAATGAAGAAGAAGGATCTATCCCTTTTAAAAGTGGTTTACAGAAATGGAGCCCAATGCTCATAGGCCTAAGCTGTTGAATCTTTACTTCCATCCACAAAGAGTAGAGACAAACTGTTGCTTTCCTTCCTGTCATTGCAGTGCTCAGTAAGACCCCATGGCAGAAGACTGTAACAGGAAAAGGCATCCAAAATGGGTGGGAGCTTCTTAAAAAGGAAAAATCTAAGGGCACAATTGCAAACAATCCCAACAAGAAAAAAAAAAAGACGGAAAACAGCAAAAAAGACCAAAATGGCTTCACAAAAAGAGCTCAGAGAGGACCTGAAAACAAACATAGGAAAAGAACACATATAGGAAGTGGAAGGAAGGCCAGATTACAAAGGAAGAGTACAGACAAGTAGCAACACATTACAGGGGTGGCATTAGAAACACAAAAGCTGAGAATGAGCTGAGGTTAGCAACAAAAAAGCATTCTTCTGGTATGTGCATAATGAAAGACAGGAAATACAAAAAACAAGCACTCAGCTATTGAAAGAATGAATAACTGAAAGAATCATGAAAAAATTGTAACAGATGACAAAGAAAAGTCAGAAGTGCTCAGTTCTATTTTAGCTCAGTCTTTCAAAAAGACAGTCCATGACTTTCCGGGCAAATATGAAATAAAAGTGGAGGGGACAAGACTGCAGTTTGAGACTGACAAACAAATAAATAATTGGAGAATACCTTATTACTTTGAATGAGTTTAAATCTCCAGGGTCCGATGAACTGCATCCAAGAGGAGATGCCTGAGTAGCTCTCAGTTCTCTATTATTTTCTTGAAATCATGGAGGTTGGGTGAAGTGCTGGATGACTGGAGAATGACTAGCATTGTCTCTATCTTTGAAAAGGGCAAAAAGGAGGAACATGGGAATTATGTGTCTCATAATCTTCTGGTTAGGAGGCAGACTAGGTGTGGGCTGGATAGAACAACTGTCAGGTGAATACACAGTGGGCTACAGAATCGTAGAGAGTGTTTATCAATGACTCCTCAAACTGGGAGGAGTTAACAAGTTGGGTACCAGAAGACTCAGTCTTGGGCTGATACTCTTCAATATTTTTTATTAATAACTTGGATGAGGGAGTTCAGAGAATGTTGGACAAGGGAATGTTCAGGGAATTATCCAATTGGGAATGACACAAAATTGAGTGGACTAGCTAATCTCCTGGAAGACAAAAGCAAAATTCAAAAAGACCTTGATAGGTTCAAGCGCTGGGCTAAAAACAATGGAATAAAATTTTACACGGATAAATGCTAAGTTCTTGTTGTCGTTTAATCATTAAGTCGTGTCCGACTCTTCGTGACAGAGCACGCCAGGCTTCCACTGCCTCCCAGAGTTTGGTCAAATTCATGTTGGTAGCTTAGATGATACTGTCCAACCATCTCATCCTCTGTTGTCCCCTTCTCTTGCCTTCGCATTTTCCCAACATCAGGGTCAACATCAGGCTAAATTCTACACCTAGAAAAAGAACACAAGACATACAGTGACAATATGGGGGATACTTGGCTTAGTTATACTAGGTATGAGAAGGATCTTGAATTGTTGTAAATTAGAAGCTGAATATGAGCAAACCATGAAATGCAGCTGCAAAAAAGGCAGTTGTTATTTTGGGCTATATTAACAGATATATAGTCTCCAAATCCCATGAAGTACTAGTTCCCCTCTATTCAGCACTGGTTAGACTTCATCTTGTGTACTGTCTCCAGTTCTGAACACTGCACTTTAAGAAGGAGTCTAAAAACTGTCAAACAGAGAAGGGACAGGGTCTGTCTTGATCATCACAGAGTGCAAGACACATAATAATAGGTTCAAGTTACAGGAAGCCAGATTTTGGATGAATATCAGGAAAAACTTCCTAACTTAACAGTGCGACAGTGGAGCCACTTGCCTCGGGAGGTGGTGAGAGCACCAGTGCTGGAGGCGTTCGAGAGAAAAGTAGACAAGCATCTGTTAGATATACTTTGATTTGGATTCATGCGTTGAGGAGGGACTTGGACTTGGTCCTTCTAACTCCATTATCCTGTTGTTCTGTGGAATAATCTTATTCTTTTCCTAAATTTATTTATTTATTTATTTATTTATTTGTTTGTTTGTTTGTTTATTTAACTTGTAAGTTTGGGGTTAATTGGGACTCGGTGATTACCATTGATTGAGATTTGCTTGATCTTATGTGGCATCTGATAGAGCATTTTGTTTTTTAAAATTGAAGCAGAACGACATGTCAATTGATAGGAATCCAGGTGCAGTACTTGGTATAATGATTCTGTATAATTATAGAAAGGTGTACTTTCTGTAATTATAATGGAGACTGATGTGGGATGGTGTGTCAGTTATTAATCAGATCCTGCACAATATGTTTTTATAATTTATTTTTCAATATTTTCTTCATTTCTTCATTTAAAAAAAACAGACTGTCATTAAACCCTAAAGATCATGAAAATACAAATAAGTTAAGTTTTGTTTCCTAATTAAGTTATTTTTTAAACAGCTATTTAAATGACATTGGTTTTTTTTCCCCCTCAGGCAATCCCCCAGAGGATTCAGGGTTCTCATTCTTCAGTAATTAGGACATCTCCATTCCCTGCAGAATACTTGGTTGAAATTAACAAGATTTTGCTGGCTATAGCTGATGCTGAACTCTTGTTGAATGCTCCAGAACTTCATTCCGGTATTTATGAAGATTTTTCCACTCAAGAAGATTCATTAAAGGTACCAGAAACAGGAGCATTATATTCAGATAGAAACTTGATTTTAAGTGTTTGAAATGGTGGGTCTTGGTTAAAAAGGTTCTGACACTGTTATCATATGAGTAAATCCCAATTGTTATAGAATTAGCTCAGCAAAAATGTTCCGTGTTTCCATACTCTAGGACAGTGGTCCCCAGCCTTGGGCCTCCAGATGTTCTCGGACTTCAACTCCCAGAAATCCTAGCCAGCAGAGGTGGTGGTGAAGGCTTCTGGGAGTTGTAGTCCAAGAACATCTGGAGGCCCGTTGGGGACCACTGCTCTAGGAAATCAGTTGCCTCTTCTTTCCCAGGCATCTGTGCCTCTGATGTCTGTAGACTAGTCTCATAATCTCAACAAGAGATGGGTATGAACTTGCAAGTTGGCGATTTGTGCTGGTTTATCAGCCGAACAGTGTTTGGTGCTTGGAAGCCCCACCTCCTCTGGTGGGCATGCTGTCAGACGTAGAGCTTGGAGGAGGCAAGGCAGCCAGGCAACTGCCTCTGATTGGGTGCCTGCTGGAGGAGGTGGGGCTTTGAAGCACCAAACGTCTGTTTGGCCAATAAATGTACCAGCACAAACTACCGAACTGGTGGTTTGTGCCCATCTCTAGTCTTAACTGTTGTGTTGCCCTGAATTTGTTACATAATTTCAGTTATTGAAAACGTAACTTATTAGGATGCCTTTCCTATCCTTTTATTGTGATGCAATGGGGAGAATTCAAACTGAAACAAGTTGTAGAAGGGAGTTGCAGAGAAAAGAGCAAGACAGATGTTAGCATCCAGTCATTTGTGTAGGCAGTGAGAATGGGAGTGCACTTCTGCAAAGCACTCATTATATTTATTTATTTAACTATATTCACAATATACTGCCCAAACTGGGTGATAAGAATGTTTTGTTAGATCGTTTCTAAACAGAGGTTTTTGGACTGTTGGGTCAGGGAAATGTTAAAAATTACAGTCTGTATCAGTTTTCACACTGCCTTAAGTATGCAGGGAAGGATGTAATGTATATGTGTTTGTTTTTGTGATGGAAATTAAAATGTGATAGCAATCTATCCTTTTACTGGAGAATATGTTTGTGTTTCCTGAAAAACATTTTAGTAGGTCATTCTGATAAAACTTAGAGTTTTGAGAAATCCAGGGAGAAAGAACTACCTAAAGTAATAGGTTTCAATCTGTGTGAAATATTTTCCTTAAAATAATAAAGTGCATACTTAAATGCATCAATCAGAAAATGTACTTAGATTACAAGTTCAATGGATGCAAATTTTGTTTACTTTTATAAAACATTATTTGAAAACTGTGTAGAACTATATATGTCTTATAGTTTTATAGAAGGTTTTAAGTCTGTATAGTAGTGGTGCCTTTGGCCATTTTAACAAGTCTATTTTTCCAGCTGGTTGTTTTTCTTGAACAGTTAGTAATGCTGCATTACTGAACATTTCAGTAATATTTTTCATTTAATGTCCTTACAGAGCATAAAAAGCATGTTAGACAAGCTGGGGGATCAGATAGCAATTATTCATGAAAAGCAACCAGATGTTATAGTGGAAGCATCTGGATCTGAAGCCATGCAAATAGGAGATTCTCTAACCCAGCTGAATGCAGAATGGGACAGAATTAACAAGATGTATAATGACCGTAAATGGTAAGTGAAAGTGCTGAGTGATACTGATACCTGAAGGACTGCCTCCTTCCATATGAACCTACCCGGCAGTTAAGATCTAGCCAGGGGGCCCTTTTGAAAGGAGGTAAGAGGGATGTCTTGTAGATAAAGGGCCTTTTCGGCAGCTGCCCCCAGACTATGGAATGCCCTCCCGACGGAGATTTGTCTGGCGCCGACGCTGATTATATTTCGCCGCCAGGTCAAAACCTTCCTGTTCCAGAAGGCTTTTAATTGAACTAATATCAGCTGTGGGTCCACTGGCAATTTTTAGAGTATATCTTTTAAATTGCATTTTAATTATTTTGCCTTTTTATTGTATTTTAAATGTTGTAAGCCGCCCAGAGACCTTTGGGTAGTGTAGGCAGCATATAAGTTAAATAAATAAATAAATAAATACTTGTTGCTTAAAAACAAACAATTTGCGCCATGAAGAGACAATTGCTGTGATAGCATAGGTGGGAAAAGGGATTTTGCAATTTCTCATACAGTTTTCTGCAATCTCTTGGTTTATTAATAGTATTAATAGTAATTGTGAAGTTGCTTAGTGCATGCCAGATGAAAATGTGAGGAATCTTTTTTGGCACACAGGCCAGTTTGGAACTGAAATGACTTCATTCTAGTAGTGGAGGAGGCTAAGGGCATAGAATGTGAATAAATCAAAGTAGATGGGACTAGGTGTAATTAATAGTTCTTGACTACCTTTCTTGAGAAAATAGCATCTCTGAAAATTCACCAACCATTTATCTGACTTTTCGGGCTTGTTTAATGGATTTGCTGTTGTATGTGCAACAGCAAATCCAGAGCACTCTCATGTGATATCCCAGGTGTTCTTGGCGCATAAAAAGTAGGATAAGGGAGAGATGTTTGCTCTTATTGTGGCTATTTGTGTACACGATTATCTACATTTAACATTTTGTCATCCATTTGGAAACTTCAGAAATCTTACTAAATTAACAGTTAGGCAGGAAAACCAGTTTTTCCAACTTAAAAGAGAAACGTTCATAGTTAATTGATGAAATACAGCTGATTGATCTTCAAGCCGATTCATTGGGGGGCATTTCTTGGATGTCATAAATATTGTATCTTATTTTGCATCTCATTTATGTGACTAGGCTTGCTTGGCATTTTTAATCCCAAACTTGTAATAATAGTTACAAGATTCTTAATGAATTTTTAATGCTAAGACTTTATAATACTGTAAATAGCATTTTCAGATGCTTATCATAATGTTTTACTCTTTGTGGTCCATGGATAGTGTCATTAAGACCCTGGAGCTTGTTAATATACATTGTATTACAGAAGATTTTTGTTTCTTGATTAAGAAAAAAATGAAAATGCTTGTATTATTATTTATATTGACACTCCAGCATCAGTTAAACTTATAATTATATTTACATTTTAGGACAAAATTGGCTAAATACACAGTGGAGTATTAAAAAAATTATGATCACTTGTATGTGATTGGCAGACTATTTCATTGTGTCATGTCAGTATATTATCAAGTTCAGTGTTAAGTCTTTGAATCTTTTTCGGTGCCTTCTCTTACAACTGAAGAATTGCCTCTCCTTTTTATTGAGGGTTAGATACTCCTTATCATAGCTTCTTAGGTTTCAAGGTTCATGGGAACAAACACACTGAAAATGGACATCGAGCCTTTCATGATAGGACTATGGTCTCGAAGGACTTAAAGTTACTGAGAGCCAAAGCAGACATTACTTCAATCAAACAGTGCTTTCCCTCTATGTATTGAATAATTTCTGTTTGATTTCTAGACTCTTGATATAGTTTGGATTAGACCCCCTAATGCCTGCAATTTATTTTTCAATATGGCAATCCGTAGCAATTTTGTCATATAAATTGTAGATGTGTTGAGCCTTGTTGGATCAGGTCCACAGAAACAGAGGATAGAAGTCCTCTATGGCCATCACCACTACTGTCCTGTATGCTAGGATTCCAGCACAAATTGGTCAAATTGAACTTACTCTAGGGGAAAAAAAAACAAACCTCTGTAGCTGCAAGCTACCTCAGCCCAGAACCTAATAGGGCTGCTTCTCTGTTTATATCATTTTACAATTGGACTGTGTTTATACCTCTTTCCTCACAAAATCTTTACTGTTCCTCACTGTGTGCCATATGCAGCTTTGTGCTTGGAGTCTGAATTAACTAGGCTGAACATGCAAGTGTGGTTGAGACAATTTAAGTACTGCCTGAGAATTTGTTTCCTGCTAGACAAAGACCCCTTAAGTAGGGGCATCCTGCCTGACTCCTTCCATTCTCCCTGCCAAAGACTGTTCATTCAAAAGGTTCAAACTTTGGGTATTTTACTAGACCACTTGGGTGCTCTTAGCGTTTATGCAGTCATATAGATTGCTAAAAGTTAGGCTTTTGGACACGGAAAGGCAAGACCTTTCTGGGGCAGCCCATAAAGTTTGTTCACCTTTAAACTTACAACTCCCTCTATACATTGACAAATTAGCTAGTTATCTGCATATTATAGAGAGCCCACATGAACGGCGTGCCTTCACTCTCTCAAGATGCAATGTACTTCCATCTAATGTTCTATATGGTAGATTTAACTCCCAACCAATGGAAACACCGCTCTGCCCTTGTAATCCTGGGGCCCTTGAGTCCCCGGCACATATACTTCTTTATTGTACAGTATACAATGATATCCGTGCATCTAACTTGGAGCGAACTCTTGCTAGTTTACCTGGTCAATCAGAGGAGGTAATTCTGTACACTCTCCTGCTAGGAGAGAACAAAATCTATACCAGGCAGATGGCCAAATATATCAATCTATTAATACAGCGATGCAGGTCACAATTTCCAACAAACTTCTTGGTCTTCCCTCATGAGATGTAATCAGCAACTCCCCAGGTTTGTCAAAGCCGCGCTGCTGATGTCTAGCTGTTTTCCCCCCCCAAATGAATTATATTTGTTTTGCTGTGTTTCATCAGTATTTATGCTACTCGTCCTCTTTGTTTCCTCTCTAATAGGGCATACACTTCTCATCCGGGCAAGGACTGTTGCCTGTTGCATTATATTTTTTTTTTCAGATGCCAATAAAAGTTCTTGACTGGACTTGACTTGATTGTGTTTATAGGCAGCATCTAACTTCTTTTGAACATTAGTTTGACAGTGAATATCTGTTGCCTTTAAATTCTTCTGAATGAATTTTAAGACTGGTGCTTATTGCTTTTTTAAAAAGGTTTCTTCTAAGCTTAGATTCGTGCTTCCTTTCTGGTGGTTCCTGAGGCACTTGTTTAACTAAATGCTGATGTGTATACAATATATTGGGGAACGTGTGGCCCATAGGCATCTGTCTTTATGTGGGTTTCAGAAACCCCCAAATATTGTTTCCATCCAAAAACTGAAAATTGTTCTTGCCATTGAAAAGCTACCCTGTCCCTCATCCTTTTTAGGTCAGGAATAACATTTTTAAAAAGAAAGAAGTGACAATTTCATAAAGCAACTTTTCCCAGTGTAAAATATGCTAAAAATAACACTGAAATGACAAATTGTGTTCTGTGAGTCTGTGGAGGGTCTATGTGGGTTTTTTGTTTTGGCTGAAAATGGTTTTCAGTGGGTTTGAAGAGGGGATGTTAACAATTTTTTATATAATCTAGGAAAGGGCAACCCAGACTCCCAGAATTTGATCATTTCTAAATTGTGGGCAAATCTCTAAAAGATTTTGAAAAGAGAATAGAATTTGGTGCAATCAGGTCCTTTCCTCCCTGAGTTTAGACTTTGGCAGTAGCTCTCTCCATTCTAAATGATAAAAGTAGCAGTGGATAGATCAAGTAATTGAATTCCAGTGTGTAAGGGAGATTATATGTACAGTAGAAAACAAAGAAGAATTAATTATTTTTTTAAAGTTTCTGATGTGTGCATACTATCTTTCTTTAAGCTGGATCAAATGCACCTAAACAACTATGCAGTTTAATGTTGACGTCTCTTGTATCCTGAATAACTGTGTAGGTTTACATCTGCTTTTCCTATAGCATGAATACAATTTTAAAAGAATAAGATGACTTTCCATTTTACAAAATTGTGTTTGAAATAGGCTTCATAAATCATTTTCTTCTGCTTCCCCTTGGTTCACTCAGCTGCTTTGAAAAGTCTGTCGCAGAGTGGAGGCAGTTCCATTGCGATCTCAACGATCTGTCACAGTGGTTTACAGAGGCAGAAGGTCTGCTGGCTGAGGCCCACACCGCAGATGGTAGACTGGATATAGAGACAGCAAGAATACACCAGCAGGTATCTGATCACTTCATGCTAAGGCAGTGAGCCTGCTTATATCCTTCGACTGGAATTCTGCCACGGGGAAGAACACTTGAGGTGGAATTGTGTTCTGGTTGTCTTTTTTTGCTGTAAATTGAGATAATGAAACCATTTCCCTTCAATCGGTAAAAATTACTTCAGCAGACGCATAAACCGTGTTAATAATTTTCAGGTACAGCTTCCAGCTGATTTTGATAGAAAGTACAACTTTTTGAATTTTTATTTCTACAAGAATTTGTGCTCTGTATTCTCTTCTAAGACTATGAGAGCAACCCCCTCCCTAAAGAACAACTACAAAACCCCAACCAACCTTCAACTCCCCACTGTTTTCTCTGTATAATAAGATGCAATACTGTATTAGTCACATATACCAATAGGTATACAGTAGTTTCTATGGACGGAAAAGAGCAGATACGGATTAAATGGTTTTCAGTGCATTCCTATGGGAAATGCAGATTCAACATAAGAACTTTTCAACTTGAGAACCACCTTCCAATACGGATTAAGTTCTTAAGTAGAGACCCCACTGTATGTTAAAGGTACATACCTTTGGTTAGAGCATTCTCTACTTTAGTAACACAGTTGTCTTGTGGGAATAGGACAAGACGAATCCAAAGTGATGATTAGGCATGAAACTTTTTAAAACGACAGCTGCCAAAATTCACCGAGAAGCCCCCTAGGAGAATTCTGGTAGAGTTAGCTAATCCAAGTTCTCAGAGGAGTTTTAGTATAGTTAAGTGTGTTTTTTTTTTCTACATTAGGCATGGAGAAGGAGGATATGGGTGGAGCTTTCTAAGCTCCATGAGAACTGCAAGGCATTAAGGGACTGGTAGTTGTTTTTTTTAGAGACCCCCCCGTAGAGCCTAATAAATAGAGATTACTAGTCCCCTGATGGCTTTCAGTTCCCAATACAAGCACAACAGTTTCATAGATCTATAATGCAAGTAGGATAGGTATATTTTGAGTGGCTGGCCTACTTTGTCTTTCTTGTTTCGGGATATTGTTACGGGAATAATCAGGATTTGAATCCATGGCTTTCTTCACCCCATCCCTAGAAAGCCACCTGTTTCTGTTTTTACCATGGTAGGAACACTTTTATTGATGCAGGAAATTCAGTGCATATTTCTGTGTCTTCAGGAGAGAAATTGGAAATTTTTGGTTTCATTAAAATTGTTTATGCAGTGTATCATATGCAGCAGAATTTCAGTCACTGACTGCTGCTTCATTTTAGTGCCCATAATAGCTCTAATTCTTGCTCTGAGATCATTTTTGTATATTTTTATAGTGAATTGATTTCTATGGACACTGAGTGGTTTTGTTGTTGTTATTATTAGGGATATATGAAAGCTGAATCTAACTTCCCCTGATTTCCCCGAATTTCCTTGCATTTTTGATAATGGGAACACTCTCCTTAATTACTGTAGTTGAAATTTTGTAAGGCTACGAAGAATAGGCAGAATAGCTCTTCTGAGTCAAGCTAATATTTTCCCCTGGTTCCACAGAATCTGTGTTGTTGTTTAGTCGTTAAGTCGTGTCCGACTCTTCGTGACCCCATGGACCAGAGCACGCCAGGCCCTACAGAATCTGTAGCCAATATTTAAACAAAATGGTAGGGTTCCTTAAAAAGACACACATGCCTATTTTTATTATTTGTGTTAAGACTTTTCTTAGCTTAGCTTCAGCAGTATGTTCTGCTCTGCTTGTCATTGGTAGATTGAGATTCATGGGTATACTAGTTTATGCTTAAGTACAAATTAATAAGCATTCGAGTCGTGTCCGACTCTTCGTGACCCTCTTTCTTCCTCCCTTCCCTTCCCTTCCCTTTTCCTTTTCCTTTTCCCTTCCCTTCCCTTTCCTTTCCCTTTCCCTTTCCCTTTCCCTTTCCCTTCCCTCTTTTCACAAATACTGTGTGCCCAATCATTGTTTCAGGCTACATATCAATGTCAAAGTGGGTATATAACAAAATTCAGTTGGTTTTTTTATATTTGTGACAGGAGCTTGAAGATGGAGTGAGCAGTCATCAGGCCAGCTTTTCAGCACTGAACAGAACAGGAGAAGGAATCATACAGAAACTCTCCACTACAGATGGAAGCTTCCTGAAAGAGAAATTAGCTGGATTGAATAAACGCTGGAAAGCCATCACTGCTGAAATTATGGAAAGACAACAGAGGTAACAAGATCAATCAGGATTTGAGATATTTTAGAAGAAGCACTGAAAACTAGTGTCCTTAGAGGCTCTGAATAGTAGATATTGTATGTTTTCTCTTGGCTTGAAACTTCTGTGGCCTATATCTGAATGGTTTCTCAATGTTGCTTTTAAAAAATTAAGAAACATGCTTTTGCTTTTAAGGTAATGCAAATCCACACCAATATCACAGTTTTACTGCCTCCATTTTATGCAGTTATTCATTAAATATACTTTTTTTAATATGCTGGTAATAAGCTGATGTTTTCGAATGACAATGTATTAGTGATCTTTGTGCATTTTGCTTAGTGTTTCTTATCTGTGAGTCAAGTAAAAACATAAAACATGCCTTCACTGTAGAATTGAGATGCAGATAAATTGAAGATCCAAATAAATCAGTGTCTCTGAAGTTGAATTCTAAGTAAGGTTAATGCTGACACTGCAAATATGTGCTAAATATAAAAACCATCAGCGACTGTAGAGGCAATTTCCTTTCAGGTTGGCTTTTACATTGGCTTCAATATAGTGATTTTCTTATTTTATGTTCCACGTTGGGGTTTGTGCCACAGACTGAAAGGAGAGAATCAACAATTAATAGGCTTCACAAGAAGGCTAGAAGAATTTAGTTGCTGGATGGAAAACATAGAAAACGCCCTGGGAGAAAAACCCACAATGAGCCATGAAGAAAATCTCCAAGAATTAATGGCAAGTTAGACTGAAATTGATAATGTTTGAGTTTGAACTGATCCCTCTTTGTTTCCTTTTCAGTGGAGTACATTGTAAACATTACCTGTCCTGAGTTTATGCAGTCATAAGAGTCTGCAGCCCCACCCATAATGTTAAGCATAATTAATATCTGCAAAGCACAGTTAAAAGGATTAGGAGTATCCTTTACATTTTAGAGCTGTGCAGTAGATGGGATTACTGACTTTAAATTAGGCAATAAGAGGTGCTTCTTGTCTAAAGGGTTGCAAATGGTGCAATATAAGAATGGCCACATTAGTGTAAAAGTGCATTCTTAGGTCCATTTGTTGCACATTGATGGGATATGGTGGGTTGGATGTTAAGATCCTGTGTGTGGAGCTATGCTGATAGGATGTTCCTAGGTATGTTGTAAGCCCTTGCTTCTCTCCCCTTCATATGAACAGATTAGGAACTACATGCTAGCAGGGGTTTCAGTTGGGCCAAGAATCATTTTGTGAATGAGAGAAACCCTTATAATCCAAGGAAGGCAGCTCAGGATCTAAACAAAAAATTTCTTTGTTTTTGTTTGTCTATGGAAAGTGTATCACTTCTTGATTCTATTTTTGATCTTTTTAAAAAAAACATTGCAGTATTGTAAATGACTCTAGGATTAAAAAAAATTGCAAATAGTACTTGTATTTTCTCAGTATTTTCCTCTTGGCAGCAAGCACTACTCTCATTCCCCCTAAATCACTTTTCAACCATAAGATTAGGAACATGCATTTTAAAACAAATTAGATAGTACCTTTTGTAGTCAATACCACAGTTCTGTGCTGTCACAGAATTCTGGCGTGTGCTGTGCCCTGGATATAATTACAAAGAACTATCCATTTCAGTTGAATTGAAGATGTTCTCTTAACTGTTTTTAGGGCTTGATTGAGGAGATGGACATGCAAGGAGAAAAACTCAAGTGGCTAAACAGAAATGAGTCAGAGGTGCTTTCAAATGAAAACATTGGGCCCCAGGAAAGAGAGAATATTTCTGATAGACTGAGGACCCTTGATATTAAATGGAAGAAGGTATGGTTTTAAATATAGCAATAAAGCTATAGGGTCACATGTGTTCTACTTCATTATTCTCTTTTATTACATTTGAGTACTCTTATAGAATGGTGTGCAGGGGATGGACAAGTTGGTATAAAAATAGTGTCATAATACTGAAAATTCTGCTTGAAACTGTTTTTGTTGTTGTTGGCTTGTAGCTTAGATCATACCATTACAGTGGTACCTCGCTTAGCGATTGCTTTGTTTAACGATGTAATCGCTTAACGATTAGTTTTCCGGAGCGATCTTGCGCTCCGTTTAACGATGTTTCCTATGGGCGATTTTCGCATAGCGATGACAGTTTGGGTCCCCCTGTTTTGCTTAACGATGGTTTTGACAGCCTCGTGTTGGTTGTCTTTTTAATGTTTAAAAATGCTTTAAAAAGGTTTAGAATGCTTGAAATCATAAGTGTACTTTATAAACCCTTTGTTAAACTAATTTGACTTTGTTCTGACTCTTTTTGAATTTGTTGTATTTTTTCCCCCATTGAAATGCATCGAATACGTTTCAATGCATTTCAATTAGGGAACCGCGTTTCACTTAGCGATGTTTCCTATGGCGATTTTCACTTAAGGACGGCAATCCGTTCCCATTGGAACGGATTATCCAGTTTTCAATGCATCTCTCTGGGAAAACGCGTTTCGCATAGCGATGTTTTTTTTGGCACCAATTAAAATTGTTAAGCGAGGCACCACTGTATTTTGTTTTAAGACATGTCCAGGGTAGAAAATACCACCAAAATAGCTTTGGAATGCCCCTGAATATGTAATTATCCCTGTGACTTGCTGTTTGTTTGGGAATTGTTTCCAATGGAAGTCATGTAACATGTGATAGAGTTGAACAGAAGTTTCTGTTTGCTCACTCTTAACAGATCACAGCAGAGATAAAACTGAGACAAACTTCAGGGAGCGGTTGACCAGGGAGAGCTATCAGGAGTTTGACGGGGTGGTAATAAAGAAAGGTAGTATTGAAAGGGTGTACTGGAGAAAGAGAGAAAAGAACAGGAGACCAAGGAGGCAAAGGGAGAGAGTTATATGTTAGTGGACTTTTGCATCATTATTCAAGGCAGACAAAATGACAGAAAAGGCACTCCCAGGCAAACAGAAGAAAGCGAAAAGGTGACAGGGATAATGGAGGAAAAGGACACTTCAGGGGGTGTGGCCTGCAAAGTGTGTGCAGTGTTTGTGCCTGAGAAAAACACAGTGTACACATACAGCAAGAGCAAACTGCAGTGTACACATGCAGCAAGAGCAGCATTGTTGTGGTAAGAAAAAGTGAAAGAACTGGAGCAGTGAGTGGCCTCCCTTAAGGGTATAAGAGAAGTTGAAGAGTACATGGACAGAACTCTTGGGCAGCATCAGCAATTGCAAGAGGCACTGAAGGCAGAAGAATGGCAAGACAAAGCAGAGGAGGAAAATGCTGAGCAGAGAAAAAACATCGTAGAGGAATTACCATGGAAATGAGTCACAGTTAGGAGAGAAAGAATAAGACACTCTTCACCAGTGGAACTGCAGTACCGCTTTCAGATTAATGAAGAGGACTCTGGCAGATAGCAGACAGAGGAAGATGTACTGGAGACCTCACGAGAGGACATGAAAGAGACTGAAGCTCAGCCAAGCACAGTCACTTCCTGGGAGTGAACTCAAGGGAGCAGAACTCAAGGCTGATTTTGTGGGCCACAGTACTCCTGGGGCCTTCTTTTTTCCCCTTGGGGGGAAAAAAAGGATTAATTGCTTCCATGAGTGGCAGTACACCTATTAAATAGATCACAGGGACCTTCTGCACTGTTTACCACCAAACAAAACAAAACAAACCCAAACTCCCCCCAAAAAAGCAAACGAAGAAAGGAACAACAATAATTAAGACCCCAGGTATCGTCAAAATCCAAAGTTGACTGTACATCGTTTTGGGCTTCTTGGGCTTTGGTTTTTTTTTGGGGGGGGTAGGGGTCATCAAGTACATGTGTCTGTCTACAGTTTGGGTGATCTGTGCAACCCTTGGAAGATCCTGGGACAGAAAACGGACCCACAAAGTTCACCTACTTCAGATGTTAAGTAATATGAATGATTTGTCATGAAGTCAGATTTAGGAGCATACAGTGGGAATGGGAGAAGTAGATTTTGCCCCACGACAGCTCCTCTTGCCTCCTAACCATACTGAATATAATGGACTGTGGTGTTATGAGAAGATGGGATTCTCCCCAGTGTAGATATAGACCCCATGCATAAGCAGTGTTCTGCTGATACTTGGTGTTCCTTGTTAGCCAGAGTGCAGTCATTTAAAACATCTGAAAAAATATATTCAGCCAGCATAAAAAGCAGTATAGTACCAACCATCCTTCATAGGATATTCCAGATTAAGGGCACCTCTTTTAAAGGAGCTCTGTTGAGGAAGTGATTAACTCTATGATTTTTAGTGGTTGTGTGTGAGTCTTGTCATCTCTAGACTCCTTGGGGGTAAATAAAGGAATAGTACAGGTGTGATGGCTAGAGACAGGACTTCAGGTTTGCAGTACTCAGTTACGATCTCCTGCCTTCTTCTAATGTTAAAATTTCTCCCCATATTAGATCTTGAGGGAAGCACCAAACAGAGTGAGAGAGCTAGAGGCATACATTCATCAGCTCCATCTTGTGCCGCAGACAAAGCCTCCTGGTGAGTGTTTGAGTTAAAAATGTGTTTTTCTGGCTGTGTGTGACTGATTTTTTGCCATTCTGTTCAGTAAATGCAGAGTAAATATATCCTTGGTATTTTGAAGGGACGTAATGCTTAAGATGCTGCTTCTGTAATTAAGATGATATGTTTAATTAAAAAAACTTTTGAAAAGTTTTTGAACAAAAAAATATGTTCCTGTGGGCTTCGAAATGAACAAAAACAGACATTCCCTTACGTTATCAGTCTTTTGAAGACCAACAGGTGTATTTTTTTCTTTTAAATGATTTAGAAGGTCAAACAGCCTCTGCTTGCCTATGACTCAGTAGTATTTCTTTAGCTGCCAATAATTTTTTGGATTTGTTCCTTGCTGGAAGTTACTCAGATAGTAAGCCAGGATCAATTGCAGGTTGTAGCTTTGTCTCCTTTAGTGCCAGTTTAATGATGTGTAGATTTTGTTCACTCAATATATGAATGTTCCTGAACTGTCTGAGTGAAAATCAGATGGTGAATTTCACAATCTCATCAAGTCTGTCAAAGATGAAGGTGCCATTGGCATTTTGTAATTATGATCCTAGTGTGCCTGTATCATTCTAGTCTTGGAAGCAAGAGGCCAAATGGCTAGTTACTGTGTATATGAGTAATCTGAAGTAGTTACTCTAAAGATTTTGGATCTGAAGCCTAGTCCTTTAATTGAGGGGTTGAGAATATGGTGTTAGACTATATGTCTCCTCATCCTGGGCTTTGCTGGCTAGGGTTAACTGGAGTTGTGATCAAACTTAATTTGAAAAGCCAGCTGTTCCCTAGCCTTACTTCACAAGTTAGAATGGGGATAAGGAAGGATAGGAATTCTTGAAAACTGGCATTTTGATCCTTTTTATTTCAATTGCACAAGACTTTTATAACAACCCATAAATGTAAAGCAAGTACCATTTAAATAATTTTGTATCTTTTAGGTTACCCAGTTCTCCAAAAGGTGATGCTTGTATCCTCTGGCTCTGAAAATCTTTCTCAAGCACAACCAGTGTTAGAAATCTCTGCACCTGCTGATCTTGACAAAACTACAACAGAACTGGCTGACTGGTTGGCACTAATTGACCAAATGCTGAAGTCCAATATAGTTACTGTGGGAAATGCCGAAGAAATCAATCGGACAATTGCACGCATGAAAGTATGTGGGTCCATGAAATTGTTGTTGCTTTTGAGGTCCTGATGATGTATTGCAATGTCTCAGCTTGCTTTTGAATGGGACAAGAGTTGTTATAATAATGATTGATGGGTTGAATTTTTTTTTTAAAAAAATGTAATTTCCACAGAAAATTTTGGTTGAGTGGTAGAGTATTACTCCCAATTGCCCTGAACAATACTGAAACCTAATGTTTTTCATATCTCTCTGTGTATTTGGGATATGGAGTAGTATTGGAGTTGCTCACACGTTCAGGAGGAGCACAGCTTTCATCAGCAAATTGGATGAATACTGTGTTATTTGCCCTGAACTTGCTCTGTGATATTTGCATGTTCACATCTATATCCATTCCTAATGAAATACTCAAGAGCTCTGTCATTTCTTTTTTGAGCATTACATTTTTGAAATGGCTCTGATTTGTGGCTAAACTTTATAATACAATGTTGTTATGTTTCCCCAGGGCCATATGCTTTTAAGTCCACCCGTTATTTTTTTAAAGACTCTTGGGCGCACTTTTGTTATGTGCATGATGTTCTGCTATGTCTAGCACAAGCCATACAATATGGGTTACTAGAACAAGTTCACCTTCCTTGAAACATTATTACTGTTATCTACAAATAGTGCATTTCGCTTAAAATAATGAAATTCATTTAATGTAGGTTAATTTCCTTGCTCGGTGACTGTTAATCACGGAGATCCAGCAGCCTCAGGCAATATGTGATTGAGTTTAAAGAGAGTTTTGAATATTGGCACTGACATTTGAAATTGTGCTGGCAGACGTTAAGAGAGAAACGGTTACAGATATTTATGTTGACATTTTCTTTGCTTCTGATGTTAGCAACATTAGAAAGTGGAGGAAATCAGTAACTGAAAGCTCTTTGTGTGTGTTCAGTGTGGCAGTAGTCAAATTAGTTGCCCCAGCACTTTGTTATAATTTATAAAAAATACAAAGAGCATTTAAAATGCCTCAATATGTAGATAAAGACAAAGTAAATACAGTACAAATGTTTGCAAACTATGGTCTCTTGAAATAATATGTCACCATCTTAGCTTTCAAGCTTATTCATATCTTATGTTCTTAGAGTAAATAATAGTTTGTTGTTGTTAGGTGCCATCAAATTGCCTTCAACCTATAAATCCTATGAATTAGCACTCTCCACATTGTCCCATCCTCAGTTGCCCTGATTAGCTCCTGTAAATTCAAGCCTGTGGGTTGAATGTAATATTTGATCTTCCTCTTTTTCTGCTGCCTTCTACCTTCCCAGCATTACTGTCTTTTCCAGAGAACCCTGCCTTCTCATGTTCAGTCCAAAGTAAGACAAACTCAGTTTCAACATTTTTACCACCAGAAACAGTTCACACTTGATTTGATGTAGGACCCCTTTGTTCGTCTTTCTAGCAGTACAGGGAGTCTATAATAATAAATTCATATAAAGATGCTTCACAATTAGAAAATATGATTAAATCCCTGTTTGACATAGTCTTATCAGTAAGTACAATATGTTCACAAGCCTAAGGATATTTCTACTTTTACAATAGCTGTTTAATATCTTAAGTTATTACCTAGGTAGCATCTGAACCATTAATGTTCCTATGTCTGTCTGTTTTACTTTTCCCAGTGGTAACACATTTTATTTTCATTCCTGTCTCTTTACAGATAACAAAAGAGGATTTGGAACATCGGCATCCCCAGCTGGATTCTGTTTTTACTTTGGCTCAGAATCTGAAAAACAAAACGTCAAGTTCTGATGTTAGGACAGCAATCACAGAAAAATGTATATTTGTTTCTCTTGGAGAGAAAAATATTGAAATAATTGTGCAATAGATATGGCAGAATTTGGGTGTTCATGTTTTACTTCAAGAATAATCTTACTGAATAAAGGCAAGGGCAGACCTTGTGTGGAGGAACCTGAAAGAGTCTAGCAAATCATGGATAGTATCAGGATGAAGCCTGTATAGGCCAAAGAAAAGGGCTGTGGTGTTAATAGGAAGGATTTTGTTAGCACATGTCTCAGATTTGATGACTTTTTAGATCCCAGTTGTTGCCTAAAAGAATATAGATTCATTTGTGTTAATTTTGCACTAAAGTACTAAGTTCCAAAACCTTTATAGTTCAAGATATTTTGCTAATTTTCATGTTTGTAGGATTTTAAAACACTTTTGGCAATCTGTCACATAATGGCAATATAGGAAAGTTAAATATAGGTTTTACCTGCAACCATAATTGACATGTGTGCCTTTTTTCATGTAATAAGAAAAGCCATTAATATAATAATATATTTCAGGAAGGGCCAAAAATAAATGAAAAAACCAGGAGTGTGGAGAATATAGTTTTACCTAGAACTAGTGGGTAAGGTTTAAAGTTCTTGGGACTGGGCAACTAAGTATCAAGAAAAATAAAGAGATATTAGAGTAGCCCAAATGTAACTTACTTAAAATATTTTTACCCTGCCTTTCTCCTTTAAAAAAGTACCCAAAGCATCTTCATTATTAAAAACACAATATTAAAACCTAAAACAGTAAATTATTCAAATATTAAAAAATTAATAACATTATATTAAAGATGTTAGGTAAAAGCATTATAAAAAGAGTAATACTTTACAAAGGTACAGGCCTAATTTTGAAACCAATTGTGCACTTCCTGTAATGAATATTTATTCTGTATGTTGTTGAAGAACATGTAACTTGCCTCTTGCCAAATGGATTGAAAGGAGTTGGAATCCTGTTCTTTTTTAAAATTTTGTGCAGGACAGGACACAAACGAGGTGGCTCTTCTTTCTTCCCGTTATCGTTTTGCAATAGATTGCACTCAAGTGCAGCTGTAGTTTTCTACAAAAGTCCCAGCATGGAACAAAACCTTTTCTCCTTTATTCACTGTTCTTGGAGAAAGAAGGGAGATATCCGTCCCTCTGCTTCTTTCTACAATCTGGATAAAGTGGCAGCAGTGACTGCCTTCTTGTAGAAAGCAGCTAGATGGAAAAAAAAGGGCAGGCTTCCTGTACCTGTGATCAACAGTCCTGTGGAGGAGGGAAGTTCAGCGGGGGCAGGTTTTAATTTTAGCTAAATCTGCTGAAATTCCCTCCTCCGTACAGTATTCAAGGTACAGGAAGCCTGTTCTCTTTTTCATCTGGGTATCTTGTGTTCTGTGGAAACTAAAAAAAGAATGTGTCTCCTCTTCTTCTTCTTCTGTTCCAAAGCCCAACTTGCAGGAAGGAAAGAAGCTTTCCATTTCACTGCAAGAAAATGGGATGGAAAGGTGATGCTGTTTCTTACATGCTGGCTAGAAGGCTGAAGCTGATATGTACATGGTCGACAACATTCAGTCTGGAACGGGTGCTATGCCAGAGTTAATGCTCAAAACATGAGAGTTTAAATTTAACCATAGAACAGAAACCTGCCTGGAGAAAAGCATGCTGGGCATGGCACTGAGTTGGTCTGTGAAAATTTAAGTGCAGCTTTGTGCACTGAAACTGACTTGGACTTGGTGGAGGAGGCATCTTTATTGGTAAAAAGAAATATGGATGTAAGTGTTTAGTGTGGTGCCTGTTGAAGGGAACATGGTAGCCCTGCCTTCCTGCTGTAATTTTCAGCACATGAAGATGATAGTCTGAACAAGGGACAGCTGCTCTGTATGAACCACAGTACTTATATAACAGCTGAATAGGGCTTGTGCATGCTGGGGTGAGAGAAAGAAAGGAGGGACAAGAGGAGGAGTACATATATAATGATACAGTGATGAATGGACAAGTATATAAGGACTCAGCTTGTTAATGGCAGTGTATTTTACAGTGGCTCCAGTCCTTCCTGGAGGGGAAAACTGAGAAGGTGATGCTGGGTGACTCCTGCTCAGTGCCCTGGGGTTTGGCCTGTGGCATTCCTCAGGGCTTGCTTTGTCATCCATGCTTTTTAACATCTACATGAAACCGCTAGGAGAGGTTGTCCGGAGGCTGGATGAGGGCAAATAAACTGAAACTTAATCCAGACAAGACAGAGGTACTTCTGGTTAGTTGAAAGGCAGATGAGGGAATAGGGATACTACCTGTGCTGGATGGGGTTACACTCTACCTGAAAACTGAGGTCCGCAGCTTGGATGCCCAGGTCTCGGTGGTGGCCAGCAGTGCATTTGCACAAGAGTACGCCAGCTGCACCCGTTCCTTGAGATGTTGGATCTGCCTACAGTGACACGTGCCTTAGTTACATCCCACTTGGATCCCAATTGGATTACTGTAATGCGCTCTATGTGGGGCTGCCTTTGAACACGGTTCGGAAACTTTAGCTGGTGCAAAACTCTGCAGCCACACTACTCTGACTGGGGCCAGCTACAGGGAGCATATAACACACTTGTTACAAGAACTGCACTGGCTACCAGTCCGTTTCTGGGCCCAATTCAAAGTGCTGGTCATTACCTATAAAGCCCTATACAGCTTGGGTCCAGGCTACCTGAAGGAATGTCTCTCCCTACATGTACCTTCTCAGTCATTAAGATCAGCAGAGGAACCCCTCCTCTTGGTCCCATTGCCAGCACAAGCATGGCTGATGGGGACACGGGAGACAGCCTTCTCTGTAGCAGCTCCCAGGCTATGGAATGCTTTCCCTCGGGAGATCAGGATGGCCCCTTCCCTGTTATCCTTTTGGGGAAAAAGAAGAAGCTAAAAACCCATCTCTTAGGGCAGGCTTTTAACAATTATAACTGAATCCCTGAACCCCATTTCAGCAGAAGTTTTAATCTTTTTTTATCTTTTCATGTTTTAATCTTTTAATTGCATTTAAAATCATATAACGTTTAATTTATCTTTTAATATTTAACTTATGTTTTGATCTTGTGTGAATTCTAATGTTGTGAGCTGCTTTGGGTCCCTTTGTGGGGAGAAATGCGACATATAAATAAAACTACTACTACTAATAAGAATAATATACAGGTTTCAAGGATAGCTTATATTATTTTGAACTGCTTCTGTGAACCACTGTAACAGAAATATTTATGATAACTTAATCTCCACAAAATGCATTGTGTTGTAGATTTGCATGTTTCTGTGTTCTCTTTTTCAGTGGAGAAAGTGAAGAACCAGTGGGATAGTACTCAGCATGGGGTGGAATTACGTCAACAACAGTTAAGGCGCATGCTTTCAGACAGTATGAAGTGGGATGACCAGAAGCAAGACATGGAAAATTTGATTGGACAATATGAAATACATCTTCATGCACTTTTACAGAATCCTAAAGAAAAGCTGACTAAACAAATTTCTGAAAATAAAGTGAGTTCAAAAAATGCTTTATAACCTGAAGCATAGAATTCATGCATCTGGTTGAACTTCTGATTTCTGTTTCAGAGTTCATTCATGAATAAGAAAGGATTTAGCACAGCCCATATTCTAGTATTATAAATTTCAAGTGATGCTTAAATGCCACATCACCTGAAATCTCTTTGTTCATAGAAAATTAGATCATTGGGGGGAAATGTAGAACCTTTTTTCTTCCTGTGCCAGCTTTCTACGGGCATGTTTTCCTTGATGATGAGCCATTATGTTCTGTAGTAGGGGTGACTAGCTATGGTCCTCCAGATGTTTTTGTGCTGTAGAAACATCTGGACTTACTCATTTCCCTATCCGCTTCTATGGTTTTCTTCTTCAGTTTTGACAGTTTGCCTCATAAGAATGGCCGTTATTTTTCTAGATAATTTTATCAGCATTTATTCTCTTAGTCTTGAGAAATGAATTCTCTCAAAAGTTATTTTTGGTAAAGATTTCATTTCAGTACACATTCTAAGTTTATTTCTTTGTCTAGTAAGTATAAGTTGTAAAAATATATGAAATAGAAATCTTGAAGCAAGATGCTTGTATACTAGTGAGTTAATAAATGCATATATAGTTTTTGGCAATAAATATGTTATATCACCATGCACTAAGATTTTACATAAATAACTGAATGTCAGGTTCATATGGTGTTCTGGAAGAACATTTCACTCAATTACTTTAATTGAGGCATGACTGTACATCAATACCAGGCAATCCAATAAAACAGAACAACCCTTCACTTTTTAATACTGTATCCAGAAGATGAGACTAAGGTGCTTCATATCATAGTGTAATTGGTATGGGCATTTCCTTTTGGTGATAAGGCAAGACATAGAAATTCCCAAATAAAATACTTTTTGCAGGTGCTGGATAAAAGTTGTAGTAAAAACTGTTTGATCTGATTAATGGATTTGTCTTCCTTACCATCAATCATTTCTTTCCCTAAAGCCACATAGTATGGGGTTTAATTTCAGAAGTTACTGCAAAAAGCAAATTGTTGTTAATGGAAAGTAATAATGTAGTGGAATCCTATGAAGAATATTTCCAGAATGAAAAGAAAATGGTGTGCTTGTCTCAGATCCCATTGCTGAACGCTATTACATTCCCTTATTCTAATCTGTGACATAATTTATCTTTCCCCATCAAATGTTTACCTCTTAAGGTGTGTTTCTTATTGGGGTTGGGGTTAATATCTGAGTGTGTAGAATATAATCTTATCAATATGGTTAAATCTATTAAAATTAAATAAATTTGTGAAATCATCCAGAGTTGCATTTGCAACTGCTGTCTTGAATGCAGGCTAGCTTAATGTTCCCCACTTTGTTGATAGGGAAAAGTGGGGTTTGTTTTTTTCAACTTCTCTGTGTTTACAATCTGCTCATTTGCAATTCTTCTGTAGAATTTAGATCTAAGTATAATTTGTTTTCAGAGAGAGGTCTAAAATCTAGAAGAACGTTTTGAAGTATTGAATAAAAAAGTCAGTTGTGTGAAGCGAAATATTAGTTTATTGAAAATGCAGGAATTCTTGTTACCCTCACTGTGTGGGTGCCTCTAAGGACTGGGAAGCTGTATTAATTTGCTGTTAGTAAATTGTATATCTTCCTCCAATCCCAGTATTGTGTTTCTTCCTTCTTTCTGTATTAGTACATTTTAAAAAGCAAAAAATTGATCTTTAAAAAGTTACAAAAATGTACAAGTAATCAGGAATGTTACAAGTAAATATTTTCTCATTATGGAGGAATCTGGAAATTTGTTCTACCATTAAAAATGGCCATATATAATGGTTCATCTGCATTACTGTATGTGCTTCCTTTATTTAGGAAACAGATGATAGAATCATCCTTTATGTTGCCATATCTGCATATTTAAACACACATAAACACATAAAATTCAAGGCACAGTTGCTCAATAAAATATATGCATCTTGTTTGTGTGTGCTTATAAATGAAGAGCATGAGTTCTCTAATTAATTTTTAAGCCTGAGCTGGAAATATTGGAATTTGTTCATCTGTTCTGATTTCCAAAACTGCCTCAGGGGATTCTTTAAATGATTGATCACTTCATATATCCTCACTGATTTTTAAGATCAAAAGCCCTTCATCTTTGTCCATCCTGTCTTTAGCTGTAATCCAAGCAGGTTTTCCACTTAGCACATGTTTGATGCTACCTAGGTTGCGTGGCACCAATATATGGTGTTTAGAACAATTCTGATGATAAATTCTCTTTTCTGATGTTGGAGAGAAACTGAATAGTATTGTTTCAGTATTATGTAACTTCTTCTGTCCTCTGTCATGTTTCTCCCTGAAGTACGCGAAATCAGCCCTTCCTCTCCACTCTTTCCAGAGGAAAATAGAGCCTCGTGGCGCAGTGGTTAAAACGCTGTACTGCAGCTAAAACTGTGCTCACGACCTGGGGTTCAAATCCCAGGTAGCCGGCTCAAGGTTGACTCAGCCTTCCATCCTTCCGAGGTTGGTAAAATGAGTACCCAGCTTGCTGGGGGGGGCAATGTGTAGCCTGTATAATTAAAATTGTAAACCGCCCGGAGAGTGCTTGTAGCGCTATGGGGCGGTATATAAGTCCAATAAATAAATAAATAAATAAAAATAAACATTTTGCTAAGTCAAAGCAGTAAAAGGAGGAACAGCCATTTCTCCCCTTTCAGTTTTAAAATAATCTCTGCCCTGGAAGAAGAAGGAAGGATTGCTATGGCATAGAATATTATCCCATAGAATTCTGTCCCAGTGGAACCAGAGGCATTAGGAGAAGGAAGGGACTCCTCTTTGCACAATATATAGGAAAAGTTCCAAGTGGAATAAACATCTACAGGCACAAATGTGAACTGGGGCACATTATTCCTGTCCCTTTTGGGGTAGTCAGGAATAATCCCTGTGGTCTACCATGACTTGAAAGATGTGAACCGATTTGAAGATACCTCTTTTTTTCAACTCCCTACTGCTACTATAAAAAAGAGAAATTGAGCAAAATAGGTCTTTTGGTCCAGACCTCCAGTCTTAGAGTTTCTGGTCTGTGTCCTGATCTTGCTTGTGCCACAGACTACCATGTTTCTCCATGAAATATGCCAAATCTGTTCTGTTCTTGATCCTTCCTGTTTCCCTTTAATATTCTCCTGATTCACATATCTTGCTGGTCTTTCTGGGAAGCCCCCCCTCCAATACTGTCACACTGTCACTCATAACATTGCCTGCATCCTGGTTTGTTTCCTGAAAGTGGTTGGCAGAGCACAAACATGGTAATGACCATGGCAAGACAAGCGTTTCTTCCACCGTGTTAGCATTTTGTAAACAACTCTTTCTTTCCAAAGGAAAAATCAACTTTCCTGAGGAATACATTGCGAAGAAAACTTTTCTCCCTTCTAAAATTGTGAAATGATATTCACTTTAATTTTAATTTGATTGTAAATCTGCTTGTTCCTCCGAAACCTTCTGTTCAGGTAAACTGATAACACTGGAGGGCAGATCTACTTTTTTCTGTTTTCTTTTTTTTTTTTTTCATTCTAGATAGTGAAAGGAAGGAAGCATAATAATTTAATAATAATAATAGTAATTTTAAAATGTAGCCATGGCATAAGAAAGCTTTCTTGGACTTCAGTTTTACTCTGATGGTTTTATCACTTTCATAGTCTTGTTGTGGCTTTTCTTTTTAGATGTTACTCCAAGATCTTGATAAAGGGGGCACCAAAATTAATTCATTCAATGATCTTTCCAATAAACTTCTCCAAGACTACAGTGGTGATGACACAAGAAAGGTGAAGGAAATTATGGACCACTTGAATACATCATGGATTAACCTTAAACAAAGGTATGTTCCCCTTAGATATCTGTAGCTATTTATAGTGTCTACATGAGTGCCTATTTCTATAAAGATAAAGGGGGCACCAAAATTAATTCATTCAATGATCTTTCCAATAAACTTCTCCAAGACTACAGTGGTGATGACACAAGAAAGGTGAAGGAAATTATGGACCACTTGAATACATCATGGATTAACCTTAAACAAAGGTATGTTCCCCTTAGATATCTGTAGCTATTTATAGTGTCTACATGAGTGCCTGTTTCTATAAGTATCTGGACTAGAGAATAAGTATTTATATTTATAGAGAATAATATTTAAGGGAATAATATTTATAGTATCTGCATGAGTGCCTGTTTCTATAAGTATTTGGACTAGAGAATAAGTATTTATATTTACAGTATAGAGAATAATATTTAAGGGAATAATATTTATAGTATCTGCATGAGTGCCTGTTTCTATAAGTATTTGGACTAGAGAATATCCCTGCACAGGTGGCGTTAGCGAGGCTCCAGTCCTATGGAGCCGAACGGTCCACTCACAGATCCGCCATCGATGTGGATGGTGTGATTCTACAAATGGCTGTGCAGTGCGTGATCCACTTGCTACTCTTCGACCTGCATTGAGGTTTGTCCTCCTGCCTCCTACCAGGAGTTGTGAGCGGATTGCGCGCTGTAGAGCCATTCACAGAATCACACTGTCCGCATCCGCAGTAGATTGGTGAGGGGAGCATCTGGCCCCTGGGGGCCGAGCCCTCGTTAATGCCACCTGGGTGGGGATATTCATATTCGTAGATGAATACAAATACCCCCATCTCTAATTTGGACCTGAACCCAGTTAGGGGTCTCAACTACAGTATGTTCACGGAATCAGTGGGATTTATTTAAGTGTTGACTCACCATTCAGCAGTTGATACAGTGAGTGTACTTTAGTTGGGCTATCAGTTAAATTTCGGCTTCAGGCAGAAAATCAGTTCATGGGCAAGAGACATGTTATTTAGTTTAAACGTTCTTGTATAATTGTGATAGGTATGTTTAACTCAAGTGGGAGAATGTTTTCCAAATGTTGTTTGTAACAGGATGTACAAAGGTGATCAACACTGGGGTTTCACTTTTCATTCTAGCATCCAGGTGCAGCCATGTAATAAAATATAAAATAAAATGTAATATTTAATTATAAGTATTTTTAATTATATAGATGGACACTTAGGAAGTTGCATATACTTGAAGTATACAAGACTGTACCTTTAATCACTCTTTTCTAGTGAATAATATTGTTTTGGGTGAGGACCAAAATATTGTCCTGAGAAGAGGACCAAAAAGAAATAGATGCTGCACCTCTTCTGGCCCATATAATGTATATTCTCAAACTGGATGAAATAGTTTCAGTGGATGAACTAATATTCTTCTTATTTTTTTAAATTATGTCTGAATTAAATTTTCTAGAGTGGTTAAGCCTTCTATTCATTCCCATTATTCCACATAATCTACTAATGCTTTAGCATCACTTTTTCTAAAATGAACTGTAGATCACAGTGTTTTCATTCCTGTGACATGATCTTAAATGCAACATGGTAGTCCCTCTCAGTCTGTGATTATGTAATAAATAGGATGATGTCACAATGTGCATAGACAATCAGATTCGTTTGCTTCCTGAGTAGGAAACAGCTGTATATGTCTCTTTTGGCATAGATTAAAAGAGTCAAAGTCTGATAGCATTCTGGTTGATATGCTCAGCCATTTCAAATCATAATGTTAGGGAAAGATCATGGGTGTGCAGCATGCATAGCTGTTATTTATATGATGTCTTTCTCCCCATAGAGAATGTTAGATGTCCTAAATTCTTCTGCTTACCCATCACAAGCAATAATACTGTGAAAATAGACAACTGCTGCATGACATGTACTTCCTGTCCTCAGAGTAGTAATCTTTGCAAAGAAGGCCGTCTGTCCTCTGTAGTCAGGCCTAGATTACATTGTGAACCCTGTTTTATCCTGAATGACATGGCATTAATGATTTTTCCAAATTTTCAGATGCTTAGGCACATTGCCAGGAACATAACCATCATCTTCTTAAATGAATCACTTTAAATAAATGTAAGCCACCAGTAGGATTTTAGCCAGTACATTTTTTGCCTTCAGCTATTCCTGTTACTATGAATCATTGTACTGTAGCCTGAGAGCTGTTTTTTTTCTAGATACGTGTAGATGATTGGTTTTCATATTTCCTGTTTCATGACTATACCTTAGCCATTTGTTCTGATCCCTTTCACTGCCAAAACAAGGCAGTGGCACTCAGCCAGATCAGGTTGTATTCTGAGAATAGAAGAGAAGGCTTTCATATGTAAACCACCCATCTTTAACTTAAAATAAGACAGGGTTATTTTCAAGGAATGTTTCATTTTACAATCATGTCATCTTCTGGTTGCTGCACAATGCTGCACAATGGTGGGGGGTGGGGTTTCACTTAATTAGGGCTTTTTGGGGGGGGTAGGGCTTATATTACGAGCATCCCAAAAAATCATACTAGGGCTTATTTTCAGGTTAGGTCTTATTTTCAGGGAAATAGGGCATGTATGTTCATCTGAACATCCTTTACCTATCTTCTGTCATGTCTGGTGCATGTTAGGTTATGTGCAATCATCCAGTATCACCAGTTGTGGCATGGAGACATTTGTGTGTGTCAGAAGGTGGGCTGGGTACATTTTTACTTGATCATTCCACTTGATGCAAGACCATTCTTGAAACCAGCATGATGATGTAGACTAGACTTGTTGGCTGAACTACCATAGTATGATCCTAAACAGTTTCAATAAACAGTTGTTTAAACTAGCCATAATATTTTCGTTTTTGGATGTAACAGCAGCCAGCATTCATTTAAAGATGGAAGTACAGTAAATTATTCAGGTCTCCTTGCAGCTGTTGTAGAGGATACAGGGAGTGTGCAAGTCCAAGGCTCACTGAGGTCTTTTGTATAAATCATGAACTAACGTTCCTAAACGGTGCCATGTATCTTTGTTAATCTAAGGTGTAATTTTATAGTATAAAGTGGTGCCTCGACTTACAACCATAATACGTTCCAGAAGATGGACGTAACTCGGAATGGTCATAAGTTAAAGCACCATTGAAATGCAATGAATCCATTCCGGCAGAAGAAAATAATCTCACACAAAACAACTCACTGCAAGACTCATTGGAAAGGTGATTAATCCCTTCCGGCTGAAGGGGGGGGGGGAGAAAAGCAATCAAGCGTGCAAGACCCATTGGAAATGCACAGAGAACAAAGGGGGCAGGTCGGAAATGCAAAGAAAATAAAGGAAAAAGCAGGGAAAGCATGCAGGACTCATTAGAAATGGGGAACTCCTCAAAAAGCAACCAACCCCCCCAAGACCCATCAGAAATAGGGGGAGAAAGCAAAAAAAACAAAACAAAAATAAAAACCCAAGACCCATCGGAAATGGGGAAAAAAACCCAAAAACCAAACAA